CCACATAGATAGCACAACCTAGATCGCACCACTTAGACTGCACCAAATAGATTGCACAACATACATCACACCACCTATATTCCACCACATAGCCTCATCTCATGGATTGCACCACATATATGTATATACATATATATAGATCCATGGCACCACATATGTTGGCCCGCCTACATTATGCTACAGATATTGTACCCCATAGATTGCACGGCATAGATCGCCCGACCTATCCTGCACAACGTAAATGGCACAACCTAAATCGAACCACATCAGTTGCACCACGTGGGGCGCACCAAATATATTGCACCACATCCAGCGCAACACCCAAATGGCTCCACAGATATTGCATCTGATACCGGAGAAAAAAACATCTAAGTCTTTTTAGGGCTACAGGGCTACTGGGCTATAGGGCGATGGAGCTATAGGGCTATAGGGCTATGCAACCATAGGGCTACAGGGACATAGGGCTATAGGTGTATAGGGCTATAGGGCTATAGGGCTATAAGGCTATATGGCAATAGGGCTATAAGGCTGTAGGGTTGTAGGGCTATTAAGCTATGGGACTATTGGATATAGGGCTATAGAAACATAGGGCTATGAGTCTACAGGGCTATGGGGCTATTGGGCTATCGCACCATGGGGCTATAGGGCTATAGGGCTATAGGGATATAGGGATATAGGGCTACGGGGCTATAGGGCTCTCGGGCTATACGCATAGGGCTATACGGCTATAGGGCTGTAGGGCTATAGGGCTATAGAGCTATAAGGCTTTAAGGCTATAGGGCTATAGGGCTATAGGGGTATAGGGCTATAGGGCTGTAAGGTTATTGGGCTATAGGGCTATAGGACCATAGGGCCGTAGGGCTATAGGGATATAGGGCTACGGGGTTATAGGGCTATAGGGCTATAAGCATAGGGCTACACGGTTTTAGGGCTATAGGGCTACAAGGCTGTAAGGCTATATGGGAAAAACATGTCAGTGCAAAAACATGAAAACATAAAATAAACATGAACAAACATGAAACATATGAACAAAAACATGAAAACACATGAAAAAAATGACACATGGAAAAAACATGAAAACACATGACGGTGGACAAGCATGAAAACACATGGAAACACATGAAAAAAAACATGAAAAACATGAAACACATGGAAAAACATGAAAAATCATGAAAAACATGACAACACACGGCTATAGGGCTATAGGGCAGAGGGCTATTTGGGACGCACAGGGACATACTAATACTATATGTTATCCTTGGAGGCGCGAGTCCGACCCGAACATAGAATATACCCATCTTGCAGTAGATCGTTTCCCGAGCGGTGTGGCTAGAATGAGCCCGCCACGACTCATATACTATAAGATTTCTCGGTGCGCGCGTCGCCCCTGGGGGGGCGACGCACGGATACTATAAGTATGTTGGGGTGACGCCGACTATAGGGCTATGGGAGCTAGGGCTATGGGACTGTTGGGCTATGGGGCTGTAGGGCTGTGGGGCTACAGGGCTATAGAGCAATAGGGCTATAAGGCTATACGGCTATAGGGCTATAAAGCACCCGGGCACCCGGGCACCATGGCACTTGGGCAGGCCACCCCACCTAACCATATGAATCCGTTAGGACCTCTACAGAGGCAAGCACGGATTGGAGAATTACAGGTTGCTAGGAACACACTGTTCGGGGTCCACGATGGCTTCCCAAGTTTGTATATGTATAACTATATAGGTATGGAGAGAGAGAGAGAGAGAGAAAGAAAGAACAAAACAAAAAAAAAAAACATCAATTTAAATGGGGACAAGGACTATAAATC